TCTCTCTCTCTCTCTCTCTCTCTCTCTCTCTCTCTCTCTCTCTCTCTTCTCCTCCCCTATGCCACCCGACGACCCCAGGTCTTTTCTCTTTCTCTATATCTTCTTTGGCTGCTGCCGGCGCCATCGAGTCACCGCGCGTCTGCATGGATCCCAAGGCGAGTCTGGTTCCCGGCAGAAGTGCCAAGGATTTCGAGGATTTTACCCTTTCGTCCCGAGGGATGGTGGCTTTGTAGTCGGTCGACGAGCTACGGTTTTGTCCTGAAAGCCGAGGATGCGCCGAGCTAATGATAGAGGGAATGCGCGAAAGGAAAGAGGCCTGGAGGGCGCGAGGATGTGAAATTTGTTGCACGGAGACGGATGGATGAATAGGAGCCCTGCGAACGGATGTCGGATGAACATTTTTTCAGGATCTCTCGAGCGGATGGGAGACTTCGCTCCGAAATTCGAATGGGCCGGGGTTTGCGGTCTTCTTTTTTCGGAGGTTCCATGTGCTCGGACGGGAATTTCTGCATAGAGCGCGAAGAGTCTCTTTGCGCATGCGTGAAACTGTCGTAATTATTTATGAGGTTCGCGAGATGTGATTCGGAGATGTTGGAGATTACGAAGTTAACCCTTTGCGATTGGAGCCACTTCGCTCCAAAATGTACGAAGAGGAATCGCGAAACATTGAATTCTTTAGATATGTTTAGATATCGAGGAGCACGTTTATGCCAGAAATCAAAATTTTGTAGTATTCTGTACTATTTTGTATTATCGTAATGCGTGGTCGCGTGTGAAACAGTCACAAAGACGTGCACTGAAATGTTGCCATCTTTTAGGTTGAAATCTTAGACTTCGTCGTTTATCTTTACAAATTGCGCCATTTAATACGAAGTAATTTGTTCATACACCTAACTTTCTTATACGAATGCTGTATGTCTTCCCTTTTTTAAATGCGGCCACATTTGAACTTACCGACGCTTTTAACGCAGGAAAATGTTAATAAACGAAAATTGCAGGTTTTGAAAATTCGGAGCATCTCCATTATACACGAAGCATTTTCAAGAAACGCCTCGAGAGCGCAAACCGTCCATCAGGCCAACCTTCACCGAGCGGGCGCAGATTAATTTCCCATAAAAACCAAGGGCCCGACCGCGAAACAAGCGGAAGCGATCACGGTTGCCCTCCAGGGCCCGAAAGACCAGAAGCTCGACTACTAATCGCCGGGTAACCGGTGATTTTCGGTTGGTCCGCGTTAATCGTCGATCCACGATCGATGCGGCGGCCCATGGGCAGAATTAAAGCACGGCAGGGCCAACGGAATAGATTCGCCTATGTAATTTAACGGTAGTGGGTTAACGAGGGCAGCCGCGGCCGCGCTCGTTACGACAAAACTTCGCCTCGGCCAGACCGACCAGCCGACCAAACGTTGGGGGGATTTCGAGCAGCGGCGGATTGACGGAGGGCCATAATTACGGAGAAAGGCCACAGAGGCTCGTCGACGGAAATATCACGCGGCCCATGCGGTTCTTTTACCTCAACGCGCCCGCCGTGCCGCCTGCAGCACGCACTAATTGGGAGAAGCGCGCGCGTACGTCTCCGCGAGCGCGGCGGCGGTTCGGCCGCACGTGAATATTTTTATAGGAGCCACGGCATACGCGCGACTCCCTCGGGGAAAAAAGAAAAGAAACAAAAAAAGGAGGAAACGCATCGAGAACCACCGGCTATCCATCTTCCAGCCGCGATTTTTCTCTCCACCTTTCTTCATTTTTTTGCCCCTTTTCTTTTTCTCCCTTTTGCCAAGCTCTGGAAAGCAGCCGTCTCTTCTTCGCTCCACGTTCGTTCCTCGCCAAACGATGGATATCTGACGGGTGCTGATACCGCGAGAAGGGCCAACTTCGAGAAATTAGCACGCGAGTATCCGTTTATTCTATTTGTTACTCTCGCTAGAAGGAAACTTCTTTGCTGCAAAATGTAACGTAACTGTTGGAAATATATCGAGGAGCTTCTTAGGTGTACCTGTGTTTAATTTCGTGTGTTATACGTATATACGCTATCGTTCCGATGTTTCCGGATATTTGTATATTTACGGACACCGGGTAAAAAATTTAGGTAAGAGTCTATTACATAAGATAAATAAAATTCCCCTCGTGGTGATAAATCGAAGATGGCCCCTCTCGCGAGCAGCGCTTCGTTTATACATATGTACATGCATACACTAAACTCCCGCGTAACGCGAGTTTCTACAACGCGCTAAACAATAAAACACGGGATTCCGTGTTTTCTCCGCCTATCTTCATCGCACCCGATTTCATCCGTTTCGTAATTATGTTGTTGTTTGTTACGGCTAAATGTTACTTATATTATTCGTGTTATACGATGAAAATTCTCGTAAAACTCGATTTCTCCAAACTCGATTTCATGCAACGCGTTACGTATTTACCGCGTTGTACGGGAGTATATTATCTGTGTGTATAAAAAATATAAAAATGAACCTTTCTCTACTTCTTTATTCTAGAAACAGTTCGGGAAATGAAATATGCATGTACACGTATATAAATAGGCAAATGAAGAGAATCCGAGGACACGTTACCTAGATTTCAACGATACAGATAGTTGATGCTAAAGTGAACTCAGTTTTGTCTGGGTCACACAGAACAAGGAATACGACACCACTTAAAAAAGAAAGTAAACTCTACAATGTATAACCCGTTTAAAAAGGTGTGAAAAGAAGTAGTCTTAGTAATTAATACTAGCTGTGTATTCCCTTTGCAAAGCGCTTTAAACGCGAAACACTACTTATAACCACGCCAACTTTCATTTTTTTATTCACAAAACAAATTCTCAATTTCATTTGCGAGAAAACAATACGACGTACGTTAAAATAAAAATAGAAAATAATCATCTCTACATTTAAACGTGAGCACGAAAGGAATATAATTCCGATGACGTTAAAGTACCAAAATCTAATTTGTACTTATTCAGAATTTGAGGCAAATTGAATATACAGAAATCGACTTCCAAGAATCGCGCATTATCGCTTAAAAGTCACCTATATTCAAAGTCCTATCCATGTTTCAGTGGCAATTTTCCTCTCTACATTTCTGTGGTTTTCATCCTCTCTTGTTTTCTTTCTTTTGCCAGGCTCTGGAAAGCAGCCGTCTCTCCTCTTTCCCTCGACTGTTCTTTCTTAGCCGAGCGATGGGTATCAGACGAAGCGGTGCTCGTGAGAGAGACCATCTTCGAGACTTTCTACCGTGCGTTTGCGTGCTTTATTTTGGTACCAGTCGGATCTCGAAGAGCACCGTTCACGGAGGAGATCGAGGAAATGTTGCTACGGCGGAACGAAGGAATTGACGAAGAGTTTTTTGTACGATTCCTTTAATGAGACTTTCTGCGAGCCTTTTTTCGTCGATTTTCTCGTTTTTACGCGAAGCTAGAAGCATTACGCGGTACGACGGAATAGAAGCCAACTCTTCTCCCAGGAATAAATATCGAATCATAGAGTACCTTTCTCCTTTTTAATAAGGAAGCCTCCTTTCCGACGAAGACTGAGAATTCGTCGGGTCGACAACATCCGCGAAAACACTGAACAACAGAGATAGAAGTACCGATTTTACCATTAATAAATAGTAAAAAATGCTCGCAATAAAGATAAGTCTTCGTTGGACCACATTTTTTCGACTTTTATAACAACCTCTTTCCACGACAACTTCTACGAAGCGTAAAGTATACCGTATAAATAATTCGCTACCGTGCGAACAGCGCTTTAATGTTAAACCTAACTGCTTCGGATGGTGGACGCTTATCGTGGCGTAGTTATTTTTCAAAGTAACATTTTTCTAGCGAAATGCCAGCCCCGAAAGAACAGTCGCCGTATTTATCTCCGGAGCGGGACGAAAATGATACACGGCGCAGCCGAAATCGAGACGGGGAATCGCAGGAGACGTCGCGAGTAGAGCCAGAAAACAGGACACGCGAGAGATAACAATTTTCCCTCGTCTTTTCGCGTACTAACAATCTCTTCTATCTTTAACCTCCCACCGTGCGTGTTTCAGCGTTTCAAGGGCCGCAGAAATAAACGTAACGCGGTCGCATAAATTCCAAAGACACCGCCCGAATCGAACAACACGAGGATGCCTCGACGATACAATCTGTCCAAAACGACGTATACCAAAGGTCTCGGATACTTTTAGCGTCTATGAAGGGCGTCATGCGTCATTGACGACGCGCACTAATTGGAGGAGGCCGCTCGCCTGCCCCGACGCGAATACTTTTCCCGCGAAGCCACCCTGTAAATTTCGATTTAATTACGCATCAAGACCGTACCGTGACGCGCGACACTCCGCACGCGTTGCGAGTATCGTTGGACTTTAGTTCATCGAGTTTAGTTACTTAGAATCTACTACTCGACGTTTCTCGACTCCACAAAGCCCTCAAGGGTAATGCCCAAATTTAATTATGTACTTATTCAAAAAACATTGGAATAACAATTTGAAACTTCGAGATGCAATTAAAACTAATATCTCCGAAAACATTTACAGTGTATACAGTAATACCACATACGTAAGGTTTGATATTCGCTTAAATATTAATAACAATCACGGTTTAGAATAAATATTCCTTCCCCCTCTCGATACATACAAGCGATTTTTCATAAATATATTTTTCATAGATTGTTTCGCACTTAGAGGTTTATCGTTCGTTGGAGAATACGAATGATAGGCAATTGGGAAAAGGAAGACTCTCGTGAATGATAGAATCAGTATCGAGCTTACGAATCAATTTTAATCGAACACGTTTCACGAAAACGGAAAACGTCCACGGACAACATTTCCGCGATCAATTGTCGCGAAACGAAATAACGAAAGAGCAGCGACAGAGCTTGTGTATCCATGGACGCATTGATCGAATGCTGAAGCCACGTTCGATCGAAAACGAGACTCGATTTGCTCGAAACGAGACAGCACTGAACTATGGGAATCGAGGCGAATCTTACCTGCAGCACCCTTTTTGGCAAGCCAGTTTTCTGGGAAAGTTGCTTGAGATCCTTCGCGTCGGGATTGTGATTGATCGCGAAGTAACTCTTCATCGTCCTTAACTGGTGATGCTTGAAACTCGTTCTCATTCGTTTTGTTCTGCTGTTGGAACCAGGCATGCCAGGAGTCGCCGGGCCCCCTCTACCGAAGGGCATATCTATGTAGTCCGCGTTTAAATCTGCAACATAAATCCCAACATCCGGATTATGCGTCTTAATTAAACACCGGTGTCGCGGGTATTTTTGAAGCCGCCCGTATCGGGTGTATCGGGTCGGGGCATCTTTTCCGACGGCGGATCCTCCGCGAGGGGTTGGACCAGTTAGATTTATGTTTCGACCGGAACGTCGTTTATCGTTTCGATACAGGTGACGTCAATGTTGCCGCAACATTGTCCACCGTGTTCGTTGTTCGCTCTGTACTTGGATTATTGGTTGGAACAAGTGACGAAGGAGAGACTGGGGTTAAGAATTTCGAAGGTACGTTGTTGCGATGGTTTTATCTTCAAAATTAAAAGAGATAGGAATACTGTTTATAAAAGAAGTGCACAAAATTAAATTTGACTTGCCGAATGGAATGGGTGCGAATGGTTGCGAATGGTTGCGTTAGATGCGGATCGTTATAAAAGTAACGTAATCTCGTGAAAATTAACCCTTTTCTACTGCGATCGGGTCAGAAGCGACCGACATATTAGTTCCATCGTAATATTTTTGTATTGTTTGCGCAACTGTGAAGACTGAATCCAGTGAAACAGAAATCACCCAAAGGTTACAAATGAAAATTAATTTTGATTTTTTTCTAGCAAGTAATACCCCTATTTGTGCGTGATAAATGCGTTATCAGGTGAAAAATGACCCGAAAATATGACAAGGTGGTGTCCGACCTAATCGCAGTAAATGTGTGATCAGAAACCACCGTAGGAGGTAAGGGTTAAAGGCGATCTCATCCGCTACTTCTTGTATACAATAATAATACATAATACCAGACATGTTAAACTATTATTTCAGTCTTTGTTAAAGACAATATCTGTTATTTATTTTTAATAATTTTCTTCACTGTCAAAACCACAGGGAGAATTTGTCCCCTTTTCCACGATTCGCGCGATAACTTGACATTGGATCGTCCGAAAACAACAAAAAGTCAAATAGATCGTTAAAATATAGTTTCGTCGCTATCCCGATCTACCTACTCGAGAATATTGACCGAAGAACGCAAGGTGAATCTCTGGAGACATGCTACCCTACGAGAATCCGTACAATTTTACACCGTACGAAGCAACCGAGGATAAAACAACGAGGAATGTCTAGCAAACGATTATTTTTCCCGTATCGACTCGAGCACGTCCGTACGCGTCCCGATGGCGAATAAAGTTCTCGAAGCGACATTCGCAAGACCCGAGGCAATGGCGAGGTACCGTCGGAAGCGGCCAATGCCGCCGGTTGCGACTCTAGCGCTGTTTGATGTGTATCACAGCTCATTAGCTCCTCGAGTGCAAACAAGAAGGGTGATAGCGTATGCGAAAGACCAGTGGATACACGGCCAATTACAACTCTATGCAGCAAATAGTTTGTAGGCACGATACCTCATTCCGGGTATACCTATCTTGTCCTCGAGACTTCGCTTGTCCCGGAAGATAAAGCGCCGCTTGACGGTTGCTGAACGACCGCGCTCTCGGGAGCCGATGAATCGATCGGATCGATAAGATCGAGATCGTTCGGCTAGCGTCTGTTCATCTACGCCAGCTTGCCAACTAGATCTAGCTACCGTTTTTTTAGCAGTTTGCTCTCATTGGCTGTCGGATGAACTGATGAATTTGATCCCAGAAGGTCAATTCTAACCGCAGAGATACGTTTCGGTAATAATGACACCTATTGGCGATAGATATTTTCGTCAAACGAAAGCTAGGCTTGCGAAGAATAATAATTTTGTTAAATTTGTCACAATATTGGGATTCTATCGATAATTCATTTCTTATTGAAATAAATTGCATGGAAATATTTGACTAATGTTCCGATCCTAGATAGGAGAAAACCCTCTTAATGTTAGAATTATAAATACTCGATTACTTTTCTAACTACTGCACTAGGAACTATATCTTAAATAGATCCTTACACGATTCAAAGTTTAATAGTAATTCTTCTAAGGGATTATGAATGTGCTTGAAAATTATTAAGTGTAGAAATTACATTGTACCCTTACATTCGATCTTTTATGACTATAGTTTAGACAGAAATATTCTATAACTCACGGGTTCGTTACTAATTCTTTCGCTACTAGACTTTTCACTTTTAATTTTGAATAACGGTCAAACTCCAAATTGAAATGTCCCCAGATGGCGGCCGGGGCACGACGGACCAATCTCAGATTTCCAAAAGAAGGCTCGCAACGTCTCATTCACGAACAAGCCCAGCCTTCTTCTCGAGTCGCGACGAAAAAGCCACGAACATCGTCAAAAAAGAAGTAAATAGACGCGAACGTTAATGTTCCGAGTGGGCCGGATGACCTTGCCAGAAAAAAAGGCCCGATCGACGCAGAAGATCCCCTATCAAATTATTTTATTTCCGACGATAAATTCTCGCGCCTCGTCCGGCCAGCCCCTGGACGGGCAAAGAGAAGAAATAATTTCCAGTCATCCGTGGATCCCCGACGTCACCTTCGGCACGAGGGATCGGATGGAAGCGAAGTTGAGAAAAATGTGTCGACTGCTGGCTGAAATCGATCTGGACTTACGAAGATAAATAACGCTCATAGAAACTTCGAAATATTAGGTTGGTAGGAAAGTAATGTCGATTTTCGGTCTACGCTTGCGGTACCCATTTTTCGAGCTTCTTTGACTTTTCTATCCGTCCCAGGTGGTCGATAACTGTTGGATGGTTTACATCCAACTCCTGCGCGAATTGTCGAACCGTTGTTCGTGGATCAGCTTCAAGCAGTGCCGTAAAGACCAGTTTAGTCGATAAAAAGAAACGGTGAAAAAATGCATGGGTCCCAGGCGATCGTCGTTCACGGATCCGTTTCGCCAAAAATGGAAAAAGAAGAAAGAAGCGGACGGAAGACTGGTCGGGGCTCTCGGTTGGTGGCTCTGTCGAGTGGTCGCGGGTCCCTGGATCGACGAGGAGCCGTTGTTCCCACGGTCGGTCAACAATCGAAATTAAGTTCTCGCTGGCGGGAAAGAGGATGCTACCGCCGAGAGCAGCGCGGCGTTCTGCCCACGCGCGACACGTACACGCTTTGTTGGAATTGGATTCGTGAATTTATGTCGCGCCGACAAATTTTATCAGGGTTCGGTGGCAAACACCGCACGCCCACGCGCGCCCGTAAATCACGCCGAGGGAGTCGGGATTCGTGTATCCGGGACACGCGTTGTACGTGCGCGATCTGACCGCGCGCTGGACGTCTCGCGGACCAGAACTGCTCACGGGTCTGGGCACACACCGGTGGACCAGCCATCGCGCTGGAATTTTCGTCCTGGGGCCCCCGGCCGATTGCCATCGCGGAACAACCGCCCGCCAAGAATAATGAAAATCCCCGAGGATGGGCCACCGACAACCGCTACAACGGCGCGCGCGACTCTTCGGGCGGTTAGAGATGACGTATTAAAACTAAGAAACTTTAACGAGCCTCTACGCCGATAAATATAGTTTCTATGGCGCGATCGTTCTCAGACTAAAATTTTACTACCCCAATTGTAGTTATAACCTTTAACTTCGCGGGATTGCATGGAACGCAGTAGACATTCCTAATAGCTGTACTCAAACAACATCTCATTCTTATACATGAATAAATTTACATCATGTGTAAGTCATTATCAAGTCGGATCTTTTATCGGACTTTGTCATTGTAATATTTTTGTCAAGTACTGACGCAGACTGGTTTGTACCTCCTCTCTAAAAAATATATATCTTCATACTAAATAAGAGATTACCCGAAACAGGTACGTATACTTTTACTAAATAGGGTCTACTACTTTAGAAATATTTCATGTATTAATTTGTCGATACATAGAGTACATAATAAAATATGTGTGGTATATGTATAAGAAAAATATCGTTGTCTTTAATCAAACGTCACGGACTTGCTCCGAAAAATTCTCAACTCTGACACCCTTATCAAATTGCGACACCCCGCGAGACAACGCTCGTGATGGAATTTTTGAAAGTACAGAGCAATTTCCATTGCGAAAAAGCAAAGAATGACAAAAATCTCCAGTTTGTGTACCGACAACCGCTCCACCGGCGCGCGAACAGCGAGATGATACCGCACAGGGAAGAGTCGATAACTCACCGAGCTGGTCGGCGACGACTTCCTTCGTTTCGCGGTTACAGCCTTTTGACTGGACGACGGTGTTAAATTAACCACGTTACGCGGACAGCTGGCCGTGCAATATAATTAGAAGGAACGCCGGCGATATCTGAACACGGGTCGCGGAACTCTTTCAGGTAGTCCAGCTCGCGCGGACACAGGACAACGTTGATTTACTCGAACCTTTGTGCTGGCGTTCGACTTTGCCACAACTCGACGCGATCAATTCGCTATGAGATTGTGACGTGTGACCGCGAGGGAAATTGCCGAGCAACGAAACTTCGTAGGGTAGACTTTGGAGATCCCGGTAGCTGCTAGAAGAGCTTGTGTAAATTAGGCTGCGTGAGGTACGTTATTAAAAACTAGTAAGGATTACTGTTGATGCAAACATGGGATTTATTTAGCTTTGTGGCGGTATTAATTTCGCGCCACTAATTGGACGAGATAAGAGGTTCAATAACACTTCACGCCTTCTCATGTTTTTCTACTATTAAGCAAATATTCGCCAACTTCATGGTTCAAAAAGTAGGTAGTTGGTATACCAAATTCATGAGATTTCAAGTCACTACTTTCTAGCTGCGGACTGTGATTATTGTGCCGATATATATTTCAACGCGAAATACATACGGAAACTTGAAACCACCTTATCGTTTATTTTTCAATTAAACTTCGTACCAGGTTGCATGTATCTATTAAGTGTACGCGTAAGTTTTGTAGGTGTACGTTTAGATGGTACTGGAAGACGATGTAACGGTACTTCTGACCCAAGTAATTTTGATGTTTGCCGATGGTTAATTCTACAAACTTTGTGGACACCACCGTCAGCTACCGAAGAATCGAGAGGATCAAGTACCAAAGAAATGAAGATCCGTGCATCGACTACTCACCTATGTTAGCAGTCATAGCTTCGAGGTCCTTGGGCTTCCTCTTCCTCGGCCTGCCCTTCTGTCTAGGCGGCGGCACGACAGCGGCGCCGTTAAAGTATGGTACTTTCGGTGGCGATCCCGCGTCGGGCACGGATGGCGTCGAGGGTTGAAGGGGCACAGGGCTCACGTGGCTGTGAGGATGCTGCGGATGCATCGAGTGATGGGGATGCGGGGGATGGGAGGGATGATGATGGTGATGATGAAGGAATTCTGGCGAAGGGAACGGTTGGCCAGGATAATGAGGACCTGGTGGGTAGACTGGAACAGGAGGACTCTGGGAAGGATGCATTTCCGCGCCCATCTCGTAGTGAAGTCGACAGAGCACGGCGCCATCCCTCATCCCGAAATGATCGCCCTTGGTCAGGGGCACGGCGCAAGCCGCACAGGAGAAACAACGAACGTGGAACACGAGGTCCCTGGCTCGCATTACTAATTCGGAGGCTAGGATTGCTGCCTGACACCGGGCACACCGTTTCATACTGCCGAACATCCTGAAAAAGAAAACAATGAAGAGTTAGTTTCGCAGTACTTGGATCGAGACAAGTGTTACACGCGAGGAGCCTGGTTTGGAAGAACGTACTGGATGAAAGGTAGATTGGTGTAATTCCTGATATATTTGAAGAATTTACATTAAATCCTAGATTACTAACCATGTGAAGAAAGCGTTATCGTGTGGATGAAACATTTTGGAACGTTGTCTCGACACTTTAGTCTCCCTAAGTGTAACGTCTTAACCACTCGAGGGATATTGACACATACGTACACGCTTGCTTTTACGTCAAAATTACCATTACTTATGATTGCAATACATTTTAGAATTATAAAAGTGACCAAATTAAAGTGAGACTAAATGTATAATTGCTTCAGTTGGTGTGTATTCAATTAGAGCAAACAGAAATACATTTAAAATTCGCCTTTCAAGAAGTTACAAACTAAATGAATTTTTTCAAAGAAAAGTATAAAGTATATCAATCCCGAACAATGTCTGTATAATAGTACATATTCAAAGTGTATTCTCAAATTTTTCCAGGTAAGAATATTATAATAATTCACTCAAACAATCGAACCAAAAATTGTTCTTAATCTGTATGAGTGTCGCTATCGCCTGACCCAGAAGAAAAAAAATAACAAAATGGCGGTGTCTGTTGCAACGAGGACGACACTTGTAAAACACGTTTCTGAGCGATACGTTTAATCTCACTTTCCGAGATATTCAATCTTAAATAGGCACTAGTAAATCGCAACGCCATGTTAATACACAGGAGTGCGAAATGGTACTGGTTTACCCTAGGTTAACATGTATGAATGACCATATTCCACTTCGATATTAAGATTTCAATTTCAACGATCGTACAGCTTTTCTAGGTATAATAATTTAAGAAACGTGACCAAGGAGATACAACTTTCCCTGTGCTGGACCACCGCATAAAGAACCTTATCTAAGTTGTGCGTTTAATGGGCCGTGATGGCAATATGTCATGAGAAAACAGGTCTTTAAAGCTTCTATAACCAACGCCGATATTCTTTAATATGTCGTCGAGATATCAACGAAATATCTTATTCGACGCGAATCTCATCCCGCAGATTTTAATAAGCAACTATATGTTCCTGTATGGACATCCATATCCAACAAAGTTTGTTAAATAAGCCATCCAAACGGTAACTTGCAACCAAACGTCGTACGTTCCAAACGCTCGTAAGATAAAAACTCGCAACTTTACAGGACCTAGCCACATCAAACGTTCAGTTTATTCGATCAACATTTCATACAAACTCCTAATCGTTTCCCCTCCCTAAGAGGCGGAGTGTATCATAATAAGGAGTCGGGACACGCGGTAGCACAGACGACTCCAAGATATCGTGCGATACCCATCGAACATCAACAATTTTGTTTAACAAGTGTCACCCGTCTCGCTCGATTACCCGTACACGCTCTATCTCGTAGCTCCAATTTGCAACACAGTCATCGGTTGAAAATCAACGCAGCTCTCTAAATTTCTCTAAACATCCCGATGGAGCTCGGTCGGGCATTTTTCTTCCCAGCGTACCGCGCCGGCGTCGGCCAATTAACGAGGCAAGAAGTCGAGCAAATACTCTTACGACGTCCGCCGACACACCGGGAGCCACGTCGGATCGTACCTAAGCTATCCGCGCCGGCCACGACAAAAATAACTAAGAAATTATCGTAACCGCGGGATGCAGGCGGCGCCCATTTTTCCATTCACTTTAAACGATACGAGCACACATCCGCGCGGAGAATGTTTCTCATCGTCCAGATATCCGCCGTGTCACGCGGATAGGGTTCCGTTAAATCGAGGAAAAAAGAAAGAAGGACCAGCGGCGCAGATAAAGAACGAAAGACGGAGATAGGGGGAAAGAGAGATCCTGGAGCGGAGAAGACGACGGGACACGTAGGACCCCGGGTGATATCGCTAAGGTAAGAAGGAACACGTATGGTAACCGCGGTGGAGCAAAAGGCCGGAAAGGGAAGGAATATACCGATGCAACGGGCACCGTGACATCGCTACTGCATTAGCGGCACCCTGCAGTCTCCATTACCGAAGCCGGTCGACTATCTACCCGACATCCACCGCGACTACCTACCTAACCACCTATCTCACTCTCCACCTCCCAAATATATTGCGTCCCTCGCAGCCGTACTAAAGAACCTAGATAGAGACGTGGCCGATCTTATAACCCTGATGCCGCGTCGGATCCAGTCCCAGCGAGCCGGCGCGCCACGTATTTATACGGGGGCTGACCTCCTCGCGGCGCTCGCAAACACGCACGAGTTTTGGACCGACAAGCTTCTGTCCGTGCTCCCATGCGGGATGACTCGCCAACAGGTAGACCTCGTGGAAGAATTACCATCGCAAACGTTAGGCGATAACGACTGATAGAACGCGGCTACCTTCGGGGATTACGTTGTCCGCTGGACCGCTAAGGAATTTATTGGGAGAGACCCGAAGGTGTCGGTGGTTGGGGTTATGAAAGAACTTAAGGTGGGGTTAATTTGCATGGTGGATGTTTTGTACAGAATTGCGTGTCGTTAGAATTAAGAATTTTGAATTGATCAAGTATTTTTGTCGATTTATTGAAAGTAGAGGTCAGAAGATGTTGGTGGTTTGGGGTTTGGAAGGAATCTGAGGTGGGGTTAATTTTCATGGTTGACGTTTTTTAAAGAATTGCGTGGCGTTCGAGAGACGCTAGAATTTGGTCGATTTATTGGAAGTAGAGTTCAGAGAATTTTTGAATAGAGTTAATTACAAAGTACACTTCCAGAGTAAATCTATTCTTTAATGGAGAAAATGTGACACGATGAAGAGAAAGCATTTTCCCTGAACGATGTCCCTAAATCATACCTGCACTTGATGCATTGAATGGAAAAATACGGAAAAAGAAATTAAATGAAATATACGTTACAACATGTAGAATCCGCGTATATAACGATATGAATTTGCATAAATATTCACAGTCTAATCGTCATATTAAATACAAGTTCAGTTTCACGTGCGTGAAAGACTTGCTATGTAAAATACTGCAAGAAGAGCAAAACAATGAAACTCTGGTCCAAATGCAACAAAAATATGTAGTGAAATATGTATCTTTGAGAACATAATTATTTGCAAAATATGTGACGAGTCTTACATTATTTTCTTCTCACTTTTATAATACAATGAAAAAAGAAACAAAATTCGTGTTCCCACATTATCTACTACCAAGTAAAATATCCTTTCATTCGCATGAAGAAAGGGTTTTTAACACTGGTCGTTAGAACGATCGCGGTAGAAATAGGTACAAATGAGATCTCGTTAGCTACATAGTGTTAATCACAGAGAACTCTGACAGGGTCGAAACTCCACTTTGATGGAGAAAGTGTGACACGTTGAAAAGGAAACGTTTTCCCTGAAGGATCTCCCTAAATCACGTCAGCTCGTATCGTGATACAGTGATTTTTCAGAGATCACTGATATTGATGGAGTGAATGGGGAAATACGGGAAAACAAAAGGAGGATGTGGCTACACGAAATCGTGCACGCACCGTGGAGCAACGGTCTCGACAATTGGAAAACGAGAAAATGGAGAATAATGATCAGATACCGCGAACGGAAAAATAATCCGTGCCTCGCAGCATAACGAGTCTCGTTGTTGCGGGATGGAATAACGCTTCTACACGTTCTCCAAAATGTAGGGAACAACTTCATTTCATACCGGAATCTAATGAACGCAACATTAAAACCAATCCTACCCTCCATATTCAATATCCATTCGTTCGAAACAATGATATTTTTGCTGGGAAATATTTTAGAATATAACAAAATATTACGAACGATGCACAGTAATCTAGAAAACATCGATGCCTTCCCTTTCTGTTAACATATATTGAATTACTATATTAACTGTGATAGTTGTTTTTTTTTTTAAATCCAGTTTCGATAGAATTATAAATACAGTCCAATAATCCGGTGTATCTTACAATCAAACATAGAATTTCGACAGTGTCGAAATTCCGAGCATGTCGGATTATCTGAATTTCATTATATCAATATCGACTTACAATATTCTCCAGTCAAATTATTCAATCCTCTTCCGCAATTTCACGTTTGACTGAACGGGCTGATCCAATCAAATTAAGAAAAAGAGTGCTCTGTCCCAAAGGAACCTGACAAACAGACGCGCCTCAAGGTCCCATTCAAGTGTCTACGAGAGTTACCGTCAAGCCGCGTCAACGCCTCTTCGCAGAGGAGCCAACAACGAAACAACCTGAAGCGCCTACAAAGTAGCCAGTCATTCGGGACGTTGCTTCCAGCTCGAGTGCAAAAGGTCCCAGCGTATCCAAACACGGAACAGAGGCATCGACTCGAGCCGTCCCCGCGTAAAACCTAAACCTAATCTAATGGATTACCGCAGCGAGTTTCGGGGACCGTCGAGGGTCTCTTGACGCGAGACACATTGTTATCGTTCCTGATCCTATTGACAGCCCCAATCGTGCTACGCATCCGGCGCACAATGGCTGCGGTGGTCTGGTTTGAGCACAGCGGGGCAATACCGCGTATTTTCGCCTAATCGGATCCGTTGAACCGTGGCGAGTAATCGACTGGCCCTATTCTGAGCCGGTACAACAGCGGATTCACCTTTGACCAAGGTAGAGACTTCTTCCGAAGGTGTTCAGCGCTCGACGAGGGAACCGTGGCCTTTGTTGTTCTTTGTTACGTGCTCGTGGCTGTGTTCCTAACTGTTCTGCTAATTTAGTAGCGGTAGGGTATAGCGGTGTTTACGGTGAGTTGTCGCAAATATTTTCGTACGGTGCGAAGTTAAGGAGAAGGTTAATTTCCTTGTTTACTATTTTCAATTTGTGAGATGTTCCCTGCTTATTTATATCTTCCTAGTTTCACGAAAGAGGTACAAACATCGTATACGGTCACGTGGGCTCGTTAGAAGAATTGCTCTGTACCTGAAGAATTAGTAAAGATACGATGACAATTCTTAG